GATAGATAGATAGATAGATAGATAGATAGATAGATAGATAGATAGATCGATCGATCATTCTGGAGGGTGATAGAGAAACATTTGACATGAATATCTGACCTCCATATGCTTGTGCACCCACCCACACTTTTGTGTGCACACACGCACACTTACACAGAAACAAGTGGAATTAATCCTAACATATTTCCCTAGGCTAAACTTTATCATTTCAACATATAACCGAGCCTTAGGATATGCCGTGCTGCCTCTTTCCGCTGGAGCTAAGTTTTTGAAATATGGTGTGCATTTTACAGGCACGACACATCTCATCTGAAACCTCAAACCGGATGTTGTCAGTCCTGTCAAAGCAATGAAGTTTTATAGTTTGTGTAATTCTTGGTTTTTTATTTGCTACTTGTTTTCAATTTATTAATTAGTATTACCATTGTATATGGGTGATGTGTGTGAGTTAGGGCCTTCGCATGCCACAGAGTACATGTGGCGCTTGAGGGTCAGCTTTGTGGGCTTGGTTCTCTCCTTCTTCCTTCCTTCCTTCCTTCCTTCCTTCCTTCCTTCCTTCCTTCCTTCCTTCCTTCCTTCCTTCTTTCCTTTCTTTCTTTCTCTCTCTCTCTCTCCTTGGTTTTTTGAGACAGGGTTTCTCTGTGACTTTGGAGCCTGTCCTGGAACTAGCTCTTGTAGACCAGGCTGGCCTCGAACTCACAGAGATCCACCTGCCTCTGCCTCCCAAGTGCTGGGATTAAAGGTGTGCGTCACCACCGCCGGCTCCTTCTACCTTTATATGGGTTCATGATTGAATTCATGTTCTCAAGCTTGTGCCACAGATCCTCCCACCCTGAGTAGTCTACCTTCCTGGTTTCTGTTTTTAACATTTAAGTGCATTGAAATTAAATGAAAAAAAAAAGTTAGACAAATGTGATGGTAGAACATGCCTATAATCTCAGCCCTTGGGGTAATGATGCAGGAGGCTGGGTGGCTGTGAGTCTGAAGGCAGCCTGGGTGTTTAGTGAGTTCAAGGCCAGCTGAGGGTACATAGCCAAACTGTTTTAAAACAAGAAGAAAAAAGCCTTTAGCTCTCAGTTGCATGAGTCGTATTTCCAATGCTTACCCATCACAGTAGGCTCATGCCTACTGTACTGAGCAACACCGCACATGTAATAGGTGGTCACTAAATGCTTACTGGAAGAATGGGTTATCAGTCCCTTTAGCAGGTTCATAGTTAATGAGGAG